ACGCCTACGCGACGCCTACGAGACGCTGAGCGAACACATTCCGAAAGGCTCGGGACAGACCATGGGGACAGCCCCGCCAGCTAGAGTCAGTCGAGTCTGGTCAAAAGAGTGAGTAACACACGTGTTACTAAGCAGAGCATCCTTTATAGTTTATTACAGAGCCTCATATAATTTTTATCAGAACCTCTCATAATAATAGTTTTTTTATTATATATATCAGTTCTTCAATATTTAATTTATTAAATCAGTAATAGTTTTATCATTATATACATTAATTCTTTAGTGTTCAATACAATAAATCGGTAATCTTATTTATAAGCAAACTGTGTGTTATTTTATTTGATGCCAACACCTACGGTTTTACATCATTCGACGGTGGACCACACTTCATATAATACAAAATATACATTAGATTTATTCTTTATTCTTCAAAACAATTTAAATTTTTTGCTTTTTGGTCACAATTTGTCACTATTTGTTAGCTGTCATTTTAGGTTTTTTTAAAAAAAAATTATGTATTTTAGGTTTTTTTGGACACAATAAATGTGACTTGATTAGTTAATAATAATAGCTGCAGTCATCCGGGTTTGTGTATGTGTTTATGACCGTTTATGGAGAACTCGAACAACATACCATTTGTTTTTTTGTTTTCCCCATTGTAGGTGACGGTACCTGTTTATTCCGAACTCTTTCTTTTTAATTTACGGAACATAAGCCATTGTGACGGAGGTGCGTCGACAAATTTTCGGATATGTAGTTAATGACTAGACCAAGTTTTCACCTATGTCCCACGATAAAAATGTTGATAGTTAGTCAATGGCTAATGACAGTGGGACAGAAAGTCAAATACATTATGATATGAACTAAAAAAAAAAAAAAGAACTTGTAATAAAATGCTTTATTATGTTGACACATTTTAAATATAACAGTTAAATAAATAAACAAAAATATTATTTGAAATTACATTATTTTTTTTTAAGAATAGAAACTGTTGTACTTTTATACAATATATTAATATGAGTATTGTCGGACAAATATAATTGCGAGCGCTGAAAATATTATATGAAAGAGAGAACGAATGTTGCCGATTCGAAGTCAACGAAACCGGAAACTCACATAGTTATTCCTGCCTGTTATTATTGTAAAATAATACCTGGTATTAGTATACGAAACAAAAACTCCGTGACATTATTTGATTATTAATAATAATTTATTGTCGTAAGCATATCATGATTGTTCTGTACACATAGTTGAGATTATTCAGGTCCGGTAATTTAAGTTTGTTCACACTACATAGCGTGTCTCACTGCACTTGTACATGATATGTCCCCTAAAATGATTGTTTTTTCGTGCTGTTCAGTAATTTGGGATATCCAGTTTTATAAGCTCCTTATTTTTCTAAAAATAAATATACTGTTTTAGTCAATATCCATTAATTTTTATAATAAGATTTTGAATGAGTCATGTATCGGTTAATGGTTATTCTGTTTTATAAGTTTATTAAATTTAAATATAAAAAACGTTTGGTGAACACTAATCAACTGTAGTTATAGGTAATAGCTTTTTGAACCGATGATCTCGAGTTTTAAATAAAGAGAAGAGTTACATTTCCGTATTTATGGAGACAATATAAACCTCGTGGTGTGACACTCAGTATTAAAAAATATCTGTTGATTCTGATAAGTAAACGATATAAGGGATTTATATACGACAATTGATTTTCAATATGCTATAAGAGTAACCCCCTCTTTTCAAAAAAAAAGCAATATCGATAGTTACGAATAAATATGAAATATTGGTCGATCAGACGAGCACTATAATATATTGTAATATGACAAAGGAAAGGAAAACAAACATTTAAAATATCTGACTGCAACTACTCTGGAAGCTGTGGTTGGGCGAATTCGACCATCAACACAAAATTAAATCTACATCAAATACCACGTTTTACTTTATATAACTACGTATTACAACGTTTTATGGCTTTGGCGGTAGAAATAATTTTATAAAATAAGATCTGATTTTCGTGTCTTTCGCATTCGTACAAGATTTTCACATCGTCGCACTTTGCTGGGTTTTTGTCCACTATTATATCAGTAGGTAAAGTCGTCAGAATAAAATAATAAACAACGTTGATTAAACCGTAACACTTGAAGACAGCTGAGCTACGGACAGAGTTGCGGACGAGCGTGGAGGCTCTTGGTCACGGGTACATCGAGTAGGCTGCATTCGGCAAATTCGGCGAATTTCGAAATTTTGACCAAGCACTGTGGCGGTGTGCGTTGTCGAACGGGATGCACAGAGGGTGACAAAATGGAGGGCCGCGAGAAATTGACGAGAGAACCGAGACACACGTTGAGCGAGAGAGAGAGAGTGACAGTGATAGAGGCAGACCAGAGACAAATATAGAGATACAGAAAGACAGATGGAGAGGGATAGGGAGATACAGAAAGACAGAGAGAGTGAGATAGCTAGAGAGAGAGAGAGAGAGAGAGAGGTGGACGAAACGACGGCAAAAGGCGGTGTCACGCCCATTCGAGTATCATCGAGTTTAAACGACGCGACGGTAAACACAGAATAGAATAGGAGGTAAGTTGTAGCCTTATAATATATTATATTACATAAGGACCGAATTTCCTGAAAACCGTTTTCTCCTGGTTTCCTTTGTTAACGACAACTGTGTGTGTGAGTGTGTATATACAACCTCCTTGCTCGAGTTTCAACGATGGGTTGTGAGTGTGGGTGTGTGTGTGAGTGTGTAGACCGCGTCGTCATCCACGCTTTCAGAAAGGTCAAATCATAAACACGCGTGTATACTCACTTAAGTACCGTCGGCGTGGCGGGGCGTTTACACCAATATAATATAATATAAATAGGTACACGACGACTCGCGTGTAAAGCGTCATTTCCGTACAAAGACAGTTTTTTTTAACTGAACACAGAACAAAACGTCGTTGTGCAGAGACATATTGCGTCGCTGTATAATGATAATAATATCATAACGTCATGGCGTAATATTTTTCCCCGCGTGTCTGAGAAACTCGCAAATTTTTCACTGTGTAGGTGCGAAATATTTCTCTTTCTCGATCGAAAAATACTGAGGTGTTCCCAGTCTACAAAGTAGACACGATTGCAATAAAAACGGCAAGGAAGAGACTATTAAACTTTAACATCTTTTTTTTAAATCGGCTCTTAATTATCATATAAATAAAACGACAACAACGTCATTTGCAAACTTTTTGAACGTTTCAATTGGTTTCACACCATACACATCGTACAGTTAGTGAAATAAAATTTGAAATTTTCTGGGAACAACGTTCTCGAATATACGACGGTTCAAATTTGTTTTGGCAATAATTATTGTTTTTGCATCGCAGTTGCTCGGTGTGTCGAAAATATAGAACATACCTATACTATTTAATTGTTCAAATATTTCGTGTGGGTGTTGACGGCGGTTGATTAACTTGACCTCTAATTTCTAATCGGGATAATAACACATTCGGATCGACAACACGGTCTTGAAAAGTAAATTTTTCGTTAACGGTGTATGGTAAGATATTATATTACGGCGACAATACCTATAGGAGAACGACGAAAAATGTGGCATGCAATGAACGCAGATGTCTCAAAGATAAATTTGACAAAATTCGTGATCGAACGGAACGGACTATATCGGATTTGAACGAGCCACTGACGACAGAATATAATATGAAATCTTTAGAAAGCTCATTAAAGGCACACAACAAATATCATCACGTTACTAGGGTGAACCACGACAGCGCTGTTTTCATTTTTAAAAAAATGTTTTTTCTTCTTTGTCAGTGTTTTTTAAAATCTATATTAAGCTCGCTTAAAAAACTATATTTTTGACAACGCGTAATGCCAACTGCGTACAATATGATTAAAACTATTTTTGAACTCAGTCGATTTGCGTACACATCTTTACCGACCGAGAACAGTATAGTTGTTTTATTTGACATTTTCCGAAATATTTCTATTCTAACTTGCCTGCCCACTTTAAAGCAAAAGTCATACGGAATTAGTTTTAAATCATACCGATCATACCGAGGTAGATAGAAGGAAAAAGAAAACTTTTTCCAATTATTACTGTATATTGTTTTGGAATTTAATATCACTAATATTTTAAGCCTTTAAAGCATATTATATCAATTTACTCTTTAATAATATAATAAATATAATATTTATACACATAAAATATAAATACAATACTATGGTACGTCATGAATTTATTCTTCTCCCGCGACAATGTACCTATTTTGCCTATATAATGAGCCGTGCTATAGAAAAAAATAAAAAATAAGCTGCCTGGAAAGTCACTGCATCGATCTCTATGGTTGTATACAATAAATCTGCCAGTAGCTTGTGGTCCAAAATGACGAGGAAGATGTTGTTTATGGCTATGTTGGTTTTAATTTTAAATTTAAATATTTACATTTAATTCGACTATGACAATGTTTAAAAATAGGTGTACCTAATAACTGCAATATTTTAGTAGTGAAATGGTATTTTTGATAACATATTATTATATTACTATAATTTTTTTTATACAAATCAAAAACATAAACTCTCCAACTTGGTAAATTGTTACTAGATTTTAATTTAAATAATTACAAAAACAAAGCAGCACAACAAATTTGTTTTTTTTTTTGACACAGACATGACTTTTGGCTAATTTTCTATCTGAAATAAATCTCGAATCTCGCTTTTTTTTATATACACTTGTTACCAGTTGCTATGGTGACCCGTAAATTATAACATGTATATAGGAAACAGTAAACAAAAAAATAAATAGATTTGCTATGGCGGGATACTTGGGGTGGTGATGTGAAACTTTTTGAACGCACCAAACTAAATTAAACATATTAGCTTATCGACAAAAAAATAAGCCGTTTAGTCATCGAAGGTTTATTATCATTATTATCATGTCACGTATTTTTTAAACACTACGCATCATGCGATAATAATGGATCATATTTCAGGAACACCGGAGGAAGAGGAGAAGGAGGAGACGGGTATTCGAAACTGCAGAAGCAACAAATCGGATTCACGTCACCCGCTTGGCTGCACTCGAGCGGATGGGATCGTTCGCTGCACACGGTGTTAATTGTGCACGGGTACGGTGGAGCTTCGCAAGACTACTTGCCCGGGGCAGTGCTTAGAGACGGTTAGTGTGCACAGATAACTTCGTTAATACATTAATCGTCCCATTATCGGGAGGGTTTTTTGAGATGCATATCGAAACGAGTGCCTAGCTCAGTGATCCTCAACCTGGGTGCCACGTGAAATTAGTTTATGGTTGCCGCGTAGTAGTTGAAAATTTACACTTGATATATATATATTACTATTAATATTATACACCTAGACTGTATACGAGTCCTGGGACACGGGATTTTTAGAAATTTCTCAATGGTGCTCGGGCAAACAAGATTTGTGAGTATATTATAAAGATATTAGATAGGTATTCATCATATTACAAGTATCGTGAAATTAAATACCTGTACTTGGTACTTCCGTTTAAAATTTAATTTCTAAGATAATCCATACAATTTAAGTTAATTTTACCCGTTGTATTGAGTTCTCATTCTTATTTCTTAAATTGTAATTACTATTAATATTAATAATACATAGTAACACATATAAAAGAAAATTATTATTATAAATAATATATAAGTTGGTACTAATATTAAATCTGAAGTCATGTCTCAATCTAATGGTCAATCCTTACACACATGGTTCAATTGTTCAACCTCATCAATAAATTTGGGCATTATAAATATATTTTATTTAAACGAATTATATATTAATGATATTATTGCTTAAAATTAGTATAACACAATAGATTTAAGTGGGTATTTATTACTTAAGCTGCCAGTTAGAGATTTACACAAGCTGAAACATAACAAACTAAATACAAATTATAATATAATTAACATGATAATGGATGATGAAAATTTAGGGTGAAAAAAAATTTCAAATGTATGTTTTGATCTATTTATAATTCATTGATGAGTGATGCCATTTTATGAAATACATGTGAACTAAAAAAAAAGCCAATAATTGACGAATAAAACAATGTTTGTCAAAATAGATGAAAAATACTGTGAAGCATGTAATAAAAATAATATGAATTACCGTTTTTTTTTTTTTTTAAAGTGATAAACTTTAAAACTAGAAATTTTGTTTGCAATAATTAAACGTTCTAAGAAGTAATTTAACCGAAGGTTATAATTAAAATTTGAACAAATTATTAGTTAGTAAATAGTCAGGGGGAGACTGTTTGATCTATTTTCATCTGTCATATAATTAAATGCATACATTTTCTGAACTCAAATAGAAAACTTAGTGAACGGAGTATTTAATATACAGTACACGCGGAAAATGATGGCATAATAAACGATGATGACGAAGACGGCGGTGTAAAATGTGATGAGACTTGACTAAAAAAAGTCAATAATATAATTCATGTTATTCTCTTCGGCCCTCGTCATGCCAGTCTTATGAATAGTTATATAAGTATATAAATGAGTCAGTCAAAAGACGTATCAACTGACTCGCCGTGACCTTCATTCGTCGACTTTTCTACCGAAATAGTGTATCTATCGTTTATTATTACAACAAATATTCATTCGGTTATCATATTATATTTTTTATTTGCAGAATTGTCCGGCTTTTGTGTGTAGGTCACAGCGCGATTTACATGTTTTTACGTGTTAGAGAACTGAGTATAGAGCAGGCATCAGCTGACCTATAAACTGCCTAAATGATAAATTTTTCAGTTTGGAAAATTGAAATTCACTTTAAAACGTATGATAATGTTTCACACAGCTTGTGGAAAACCTAATACATACGAATCGTATATCAAATGTTAACATGCATTCTGCTGAAAAATTGGATAGTATCTACACAGCTCACTCATTTACAAACCGTTTTTTTTTTTTCGTACGGTATCGCAACTGAGGTGGGAACCACTTTAGTTTTACTTCCACCTCTGTTGCATCGTTTATTGAACAATAATAACAATAAAAATAAATAAATAGTATTCAAAAATTCAAAATACAAGTCTCAAACAAGTCTATACAAACTCATTTACATATCTAGCGTATGATGTATGTGAACAGGACAGGTAGTACTTTATTTTGTTTTTGATATTTCCGTATTTTACGGAAGACGCGTAAATAATAGTAAATAGGGAAAATAAAAAATTCACACACGACGGTGGAAAACAATGATAATATTATACCCTTATTTTTGTAGTTTGTACATAATATTTACCTTTACAGGCAAACAACCGTAAACTGTTATTTTCTGGACCACCCTGTAGCTCGGTTCTCGGACATCCGTTTATTATACTTGGGTGTGCACATCGGTATAATATATATGTGGATAACATCTGAATTATATTTCCATACTTTTGCAGGTTGATAATATTATTATATTTCTGACCACAAACAGAAGAGGTAATCGATCAAACTGGCTGTCAATCGTTTTATGACATTTTGAAGAAACACTTATTAATTTATAGGAATTCATTGACCGATTAAGCCGATTTTTTTGATTTTTAGGTTATCTAATACAAGTAAAAAGCAAAACAAAAAATCCCCGATTATATATATTGTATAATCAAAACATTAATCGATCCACTTAGAATCAATAAATTTTAGCTTTGTCTAATTTCCAAAACGAGGCAATGACGATGAGATATACATAATAATATGTCGTGCCGGGTTGAATGGATGCACAATGCATGCAAGCGGACGGCTATGCAGCAGGGTGCATTATAACTGCAACGATCAATCTCGGGCTTAAACCTCGAGTGCTCGTGTGCGTAAACAAGTGTACGAAATGATAATATTATGTTGTTATCATTATCATGTTTACCGTGTTAAAACTATTCGACGCTGATTGCGCGCGTGCGATATGATAAAATAAACGGATTTAAAGCGTTTTATGCAAACTTGACGATAATGATATTATGCATAGGCACTCGACTGGGACGAAAATAAAAAACACCTACCACCGATGCATAATAATATATTATAATATTATGTATAAGCTTGTCGTTTGGTCTTGTGCAGCGTTACGTTTGACACTAATATATATAGTATATATATAGGTAGGTAGGTACCCAACAATAATGCAACGCGACCACGACTGTAAATATTAATAAAATATAAATTATGATTGATGTGCACACGTAAAGTGCATCACAAAATCTGCATAAACTATTATCGTATCGACACGATGAACGTTAAAACATAAATTATTCAATATTTTAATGGACTCGTATACATAGAAATATTAATATCGGTAAGGTATGTGATGAGCTACAGGGCAACCACTCACAAATCTAATATTATTAAATGTGAACTACCCATATATTATACGTTATTACCTAACATTTAATTTGGTTTAAAATATGCTTCATTACATTCGCATTCCAGGCGTTTATAATGTGGATTATATTCATTATATGAATACCAATGTACAACGATGTAATTAAAATACAGTACATTTTGCTGGTACAGTAATCACAATAATATGTTTAGAAATTTGTGGCGTTTCAAAGTATGAATAATTTGGTGAGACATTTTTGAAAATCGTCTGATTTACAGCGTACTTGAACAATGGAAAAGTACACGTGTTCATGGTGGACTGGGGCAAACTTTCGGCCATCCCTTGTTATGCAGCCTCCGTTCACAATCTTAAGCCCGTGGCCAGGTGTATGGCTGTCATGTTGACGCATCTTCGAGCCGCAGGCCTGGAGTGGACCAGCTCACGTGTGTGGGCCACAGCTTGGGTGCACACCTGTGTGGAATTATGGCCAATTACTTGCCGTTCAGAATGCACCGCATTATAGGTATTTATATCTACATAAATAAAGATTAACGAACATGAAGAGAAAGATCATCGAGGAAAGAGTGAAACAAATCTACATTATTCAAAGAGTTTCCCAGAGACATTGCATTATTAGAAGGGGAGAATGACGTGTATTCAGTTGATATATTCGGTGGATAGAAAAGTTGTTTGTGCTTAGAGTTTTGAATATTTTAGTGTTATTTTGATGCACAAACGTTTATCAGTTTCTGGATAATCTATGACAATATTATTTAATAGTTTGTAAAGACATTTTAAATTTGGTAGTTTAAATCTTTTTTTTTCCAGTAGTGAGATTAAAAAGAACCTATTTATTATATTATAATCAGAATGAGGAAATCTATAAATGTTTACATTTGGAAGGTTAAAATTCTGAAACAATTAAAAAATCATTCCGGATTTTAGAGAGATTTTAATTTTGGATTTGATTTTTGGTTATGCCATATTAAATTTGCATAGTCCAGTTTGTGAGCTTACTAATGATAAATACAACAATTAAGAGAATGGACATTGAGGAAGTCTTTATAGGTGTGTTTGATAAATCTTAGTTTAGCTGATGATTTTGTAATAATATTATTGGTATGAAATTTAAAATCAAGGTTTAAATTTAAATTAACACCAAGATCATTAATTTAATTTGCTCGAGGTATTTAATTTTTTTTAGGTTATAAATTTATAATCAAAATAATAGGTTCTTTTTTAAAAGAGAAAGAAATAGTGGTGCATATTCTATATATTATTAGACTACCGGTTTTTCTCACAAATTTTTTTGAAATGCATTTAAATCATTTTGAAATAGAGAATATCATTTTGCAGTGAATTGGTCTTCGATACAATTGTGGTTACTTACGGAACCGAGTAATACAATATTTATTACGATTACTCGAATTGTTCAAAAAAGCAAAAACGATTTAAGACACATGTCCACATGAGTGTTATGTAAAGTGTATGTAATTTTTGATTTTCATGACACGTTACAGGCGTGGATCCGGCAAAACCATTGATCCGCAACCGGGCATCCAGCCGATTGGATTCCGGGGACGCGGACGTCGTGCAGATCATACACGCCACGTCCAAGTACGGTGATCTGAAGCGTATGGGACACGTGGATTTCTGTCTGAACGGGGGACACGTGCAGCCGTTCTGTTCGAACTCTTCCGGTGAGTACTTTGATGCGAAATGTGGCCCTTACACTAGGTATTAGGTTATACAGTGTGACTTACCCTGCAGGTCAGGGCCGCTGTGCTACTATACATTCTGCAGCATCGTAGAAACCGGCCCACTTCGAAAGTATAATATGATATCGAAATCAATGGATTGTGCAGGCTTACTTATAATAATAAAATAAAATCGACTAATACTGAACCAATAGACTGCAGTAAACTCTCCCGATGAAAAGCTCTCCCGGGTACTTACCTGAAGAGGAAATGTGTTAACTCTCCCGAGCTGTTTCAAACTGTATTGCGAACACTGCGAATTGACTATAGACTGAGATTGTGATTATCATTATAAATAATAATTATTATGATGTGATTCAATTACCGTTATCCTTAATATTGACTTTTTGTATAATATTCATATTATAACATTAGAGGTACCTGTATACAATGATACGACTATAATGTATAAACGAAGTTATAACAGACTCAGGAGAGTTTACCCTTCAAGTAGTACTGAAGTAGACCCAGGAGAGTTTACGTACATACACCGTTCAATACATACTAATGAAGACCCGAGAGAGTTTACCATCGGGAGAGTTTACAGGTCATTAAAATCGGGAGAGCTTACAAATTATATTAATTTTCTTGGTATAATAATATTGTAACAACTTTTTTGTGAAAATTCAAGGGAATATGAACCCGACGCCTGCGTAAATCACAGTACTACACTTATAATAAGTGTATTAGTTTGTAATACAATAAATTGATAAGTTCCCGTTATAAAATAATAGCATATACTTACTGATATTATCGAGAAAAATGTAATAACTTGTTAATTTATGTGGGCTGGGTTATTTGCTGAGAATATAGTGGCCCTGGACTTACCTTGCTTCTCGAAAACACCACTGCATCTATCTGATCGCTCACGGATCAATTCGTCGCGGTGCAACGAATAGCGATAGAACACATCCACTTACCTGCACAAACCCTACTCTGGAGGGGTTGTACTTTTGGCGAGTTTGCTAATCTTGAGAGAAACTTGCGGGATTGAGTGACGTGCAAGCCACGATGGGAATCGTTCGCGAAGTCATTACTTCAGCCGCTGAATAGTGTCGAAAATTATTTTCTCCACATTTTAGCGCGACATTTTTTCTCGGAGCTATCTAATAAAATATGATGTACTTATTCGTGCTCAGACACCGAACTGTGCGGTCACACGAGGAGCGTCTGTTACCTGGCAGAAAGTTTGGACCAGGAAGCCGCCCGAAAAGCGGTACCGTGCACCAGGAGATGTTTGCAGGGCGGAGAAGGAGGTTCAAGCTATTCGGTCGTCAATTCTTTCGGCCAAACGCCGTACGTCGTCCTGGGCCAACACACACCTGACGAGTAAGTGTCCCATCTCGTTTCCGAAAGCATTCCGAAGCTGGTCCGAGAGTATAATATAATATAATATTATTCTTTCCAAAACTGCGTCAAGTAACAATAATTATGTTTTCTCTCGCAATTTCATTTTAAACGATATCGGAATTAAGACTTTAATGGGTGAACTCAATTCAACAGACATTATCAGAAGCGGTGATGGTTTTTTCGTGTTTATTTTATTTTGTGTCTCACACTATATCTATTTTAGAACGAACAGAACCGCGTTAAGATTTCAGTATAAAAAAAACCACTTGCTGATAATATATGCTAATAGCTGCAGCAGATGTGAAGGATATAATATTATGATTATATTCTCCGTGGACATTACAATAATTTAGATTTAGATCGACTCCGATTTGTCACGAATCACGATGATCCGGAGTCTTAACATATTAAGAGCATTGGGTAGTTGCTATTAGTAACGTAACGAATAACGATGTTAATGCATTACTGTAATTACTGTACTTTTATTATATTTTTAACGCGTCATGTTATTTCCTCAGAATTTATTCCAAATAACGGAAATGTAATAGAAATTATTAGAAATTATTTTTATTGACTAATTCTTGAAACATAAACTCTAGATTTTTTTGGAAATATTTAAATGTACTTAATGACCGTATTTCCAATTTCTTGAGATTTTGTTTAGCTACTTAGGAGTATTCTAAGATAGCATCTTCCAACTTCTGTTTTTCATATGAGAACTACTTTCTACTCTAAATTATTTTGTAGGTAATTTTTCTGAAAATTTAAACCAAAATTCAAACAGTAGTTTTTAAGTTATTTAGCTTTGTGTAGTCAGGACATATGCGTGGATGATATGGTAATTTGACAATTGTGGTAATTAATATTATTCCATGAACATTAATTATTGATAAGCGTGGCTCCAGGATAATAAATACTATAGATCCAATATTATTACATTTATTCTAAATGTTTCTAAAACTATTTTTGAGGACTATTATCCTTAGTATCTACATTTTAATAACTGAACAATCACTTGTTTGAATTTTGATTTAAATACATCAATCCTTGTTCTATTTCCTAGGTTATGTAGGAAATGGATTTTTGATTTTTTGTATTGTTTATTAGTAAGGTATTATTATGGTACGAGATTTTTTTTTTCAAATTTTATCTTTTCTTTAGTTACTAAAGAAAAAAAACGAAAATCCATTCTCCATATGACCTAGAAAAGAGAATAAGGAAAATGTTTCCGAAATTAAAATCGGGCTACTGGTACTGGGTAAATTTTTCTTCCTCCTATTGGTCTAAAATCACGGAAAAAAACATCTTTCCACAGCCCTAAACTAGTGTGTGGTTGCAGGGTGAACGGCGTGTACTGCGTGTCCAACTTGGACGCGCCTTACTGTTCTAAGACCAGCGTCAAGGGTAGTCCGTACTGCTGTCCGCCGGCGTCACAGCCGAACAGCGACAGCGTAGATCACTCGATGAGGCTGCCCGAAGATGAGGACTACAACAGCAGCAACATCAACGGCAATAACCACAACAGAAACAACTGAAATCGAGGACGGAGGAGGGACGACGGTGAAAATATGAACGTCGGCAACAATCATAAGACGTCTTAATTTTATTGTCTTTACACGAAATGTACAAAATATCAAATATTTGTTTTTAAATATATTTACACTTAAGTCACATAAATACACACTTATATTATATTATATAATATTATAATTATTTTTGTGTGAATCGTATAAATCATGTATAATGTTTTAATAGCGTTTTTACATAATGTTACATTATTATAAATATTATTACATGAACACCCTATATATTATATGTATATAAATGGCTGTAATCATATTATTTGTTTATGCATTTTAGAGTTCAGATGTTCTCGAAGCTATGTGGAATGCTCTAAAATATTGCGTCATCGCAATTTATTACATTATATACTATATAGGCGTCTGACGTCGGGGTGTCACATCGTTGGATTATCGGCAAAGTTGTGGTTTTGTGGACGACGGCTTATCGATTATCGCGAATATCGTTGACTAGAAGAGGAGACGGTGTTGTTTTTGAGGGATTTCGGAAAATCTCGAAAAAAACCGTTTCCAGGCCGACGATATCACCGCGCGCAACGGTCGTAGTAAATAAATTATTATATTATTAATACACACTATAAATCATTTTTGTTAGGAAAATGGATTAAAAAAATAAATCGAGACGGCCGTGAAAAAAAAACGGTCGGCCGGTCGGTTAAGGTCTATCTTAAAAACATTAATCATTTGACATAATATTTCACACAGATATATATATATATACGCAGCATACAATACAATAACAACATTTTATATTACGCTTTCATAATAATAATATAATATTAAATAGGTATATACAGTTAAAAATGAAACGAAACGTTATGACGTCAGGAAATAGGAACACTCTCCCCCCCCCCAAATATCTTGCAGTGTACTAAAAATAAAGATAAAAAAAAATTAACGCAAAAATATCAAATGGTTTTCCCTTTATTAGCGTGACAGCGGTTGTACCTACCACAAAACCATGAAATGGTTTAAGAAATTAATAGCATGAAGTTATGACAGAAAAACATTGCGAGCGCGACTGCACCACTCGCGTGCTCTCATCAGACAATAAAATATATTCTCGTTAGAAAATATGTTCGAAAGGGTGACGTCGTACACACGTGGGTACATGAATTTCAAAACAAAAAAAAATACGTGTTTTAGTAATAGTATTTTTAAGTATAGTATAGTTAAGTATTTTTTTTTTGGAAATAAGTAAAATATTATTATAACCGATGGCGAAAAAATCACTGTATCCAGAACGCGTTGGTTAAGAAAAAAAAATAAATGATAATAATAATAAAACCGTCGAAGATGATGTCAATAAGACACTGTTCGAGGCAAAACGGGAAGCTTGTTTGAAAATATTAGGAAAATTCCGCGTGACAAACAAATTTGATCTCGAGGTTTTATCTTTGGCTCTTCACGATTTGTATAACTCGTCGAGAGCGTGACGGACGTTTATATTATGATAACGAGATAAACTGCCACCTGCTTGATCTTATAATATAATATTTTAGGGTCGCGTTGGTATTTTTTGCTTCACAGTAAGATACCGGGTACCAGTTTTCACTCTATAAAAATATTTTAAGCTGTTCATCAAGTTTCGATCGTCACGTCCGTGACTAAATTCTAGCATTACTATAATAATATCATCATGACGGGAAACGAAAATAAATATATAATAATATATTAATTCTATCGATTTTGTACAATTTAATATAATATATTAAAATTAATGTTATACATACTTACAAAGCTGAAAAACCAAACAGTCTTCTGAAAGTGTAACTGTGAGAGCATATATTATTAATTACAGTGTTCGTATTCGGTGGAGAATTATTCTTTCGTTGAAAACTACCGATTTCTCCACGAGTATGGTGGGGGTAAATTAAAAGTTACAAATAAGATAGTATATTACGACGTTTTCTCGAACTGATGAAATAGATGCGGCATAGTATAATTATTATTGACATCAATAAATTTCAATTGCATTGTGTATCACGAGTATTAGAGCTCGATAATATCGATCGTTGATGGTCTCGTGATTTTTTCACAGCTTTTTCTTCAACGAGCACTTATGAAAAAACAATAATTGTCAATAATGCAGGTGGTGATTTTTTTGTGTGGCTACGCTCCTGAAAGCCAGCAGAGACTATTTAATTTTTATAAATGAAAACTCGTGGTTTAGTCGTCAGAGAAAATCGGAAATTTCAAATAGTAATATGACTAGTGGGGTCTGCTGAATTCGAATATTCCACGCTGAAGAAGACCATAGGTTTTCTGCCACTTTGCAAATAAGCACCAACATATTATTAAATTGTAGAGGCTCGATAGTTCGGACGAAACATAGATATGTACCTACCTAATTTGACTGGAATTTCTGAAACACAGTTAACTTACGAGTTAAGTGGGAGCTCTGAAAGCTGCACTCAATACTGAGCATGTAGAGCACTGGAATTTGCAAATTTGTTGCTGCTTGAAGCTTTTGGAACGAAAATCTATACTAGTCAAAAAAAATTACCCACATCTTCGCTAATAAACATCAGCTGGTCAAATCTTGTACCCAATGTATTTTATTTAATTTGTTTATAATTAATTGTTAAATGTAATAAATTAAGGGGATGGAAAACATTTATTAGCCATTCTCGAGTACCCAAGTAACCTTGAAAAACATCCAGTGATCAGGACGACACTTGGTCTGAATTCGTCCAGACTATCGAGATTCTACTATATTAATATAATAGTAAAAATAATAATAATAATTTTATGTAGACACAATGCGAGTAAAATAAAATTTAAATTTATAATAATAATATGTACATTAACAATATCATAGAATAATATCGTGTTAGAATTGTTATAATAATATAATATAATTTAATACATAAGACTTAAATCATACACATAGGTACTATAATATCATATATATGGTAGGTATATACTATATATTATTTTATGTACAGGATTAAATATTTTTAAAATATATTTATACGAAAAAAAAATATAGAAAATTACGTCTTAAATACAAAACCGCACACACGCATTGTCGTTGTCATCTTCAAATTATCGTCATATTATATTACAAGTTATAATTTATAACCTACATTGAGTACATAATACCATTACGTTGTGATTAACATCACGCCGCTCTGGACCGGCGCCTCAACACGTTCCTCAGTTTGTTGAGATTGTCCAGCGTGGTCCGGTCGTCCGGCGATATCCTCAGCGCATTCTGGTAGCTGGATAACGCCTCTCGGTGTTTGCCGTTCAGGTGCAGCATGGCTCCCAGGTTGCTGTGGCTGCTCGCATCCTGCGAACACAACAGACGCGTGATGGTTAAGAGACGGTAAGTCACACGTTGGATTGGAACAGGCGGTGATGGTTGTGGTGGCGGAAGAAGTGGTGGAGGAGTTGGTGGTGGTGATGGTGGGAGAGAGTTTGGAGTGGTGACCTACGGTGACTTTGGCGACCGTTTAGTATTAGAGTTATGTCATCGATGGGGAAAATGAGAAATAACATGTACCTAAATGCGAAAGCGTTACTACAATTTTTAGGAGGAGAATCAAAAACGAAGGGCTCGACAAGGCAAAAACCAAACAAATCCATTTTTTCAGGACGATCAACAAACGGTCTCATGGTGTTTGACATTTTCGTTCAAAATTGTACTTGTTTAAAATGTTCAATTCGATTAAAGATGGCGGACATATATTATGACACTGTTAGACCGACTAAAATGAGTTGTACGAACTAAACGGTTGGTAGGTGTAAAAATATTCATGAAATAAATTTGTTCTATGTGTATTGACCATAAAATATGCTTCATGTGATTAATTGTATAGTTAAGTTGTCTATCTTTTATATAAATGTGCAAAAATGAGAATCTTTGCCACGCATGTTCTCGGGAACCACTCATCAGTCATCTGATAACCATGCGATTTTTTTTAAATGATAGAATATATTTGGAAAAGGTTTTGACATTTTTCCAACCATTATAGGTAGGTAGCCAAAAGGTAGCCCACATAAACATTTTTTTCAGCTCAGCAAAAACTAATATTATTTTTGTGTTTTTTTTTTTTTAATTGTTGCTATTGGTTACATGTTGCATTACCTACTATTGTAATTTTATTAGTAGAAATAAGGCATACACATCTTATTACAAATATATTTTTTAATAAAACATATCTTTGGCACGGAGAATGTCGGGCAGGACAGTTGGTATTTTGTAAAAATGTAATGGCATTGATCTGCTATTGACTTATATGGTTTTTTCCACACAATTATCATTTTTGTATTTCATGAAAAAATTGTCAATAATATTATTTTAAAATAGAAAATAGAACTTTATATTTTGACATCAACCAAATTGTGGAATGTACATGCATATTGCAAAGGTACTAATAACGGACTGCTCTGGTTGTTGCATTCACTTGAATTATTTTCTTTGTTTTATTCCGAGAAAAAGAGAATTTTTGAAAAATGTGGACTTGTCGATTTTTTTTAAAAGTCCTTTCATATATTCTCAACTTTGGCGTCACGGGGGCAATGGTTTTTATAAAAGGTGTATCATTTGTAGTCGTTATGTATTTCAATTCCATTGTATGTTATTTACCCTAAAATCACTTGAATACTGTTTATTTCAAAACATTCTTACGATCATATTATATGTAGGTACATGAATCGGGTTTTAAAAATATCCAAAATATGAATACGTATTCATCGAGCACAATATTTAAAATAAGAAGTACCTAACAGATGTTTTCAAGCATATAATATTAATGCCGCATTGAAAATATCAATAAAAAAGCTGATTAAAAAGGAATAACAAACGCTTTTTTATCGTGTTATCTGCATCAAAATTAAAAACTATGATAAGCGGTAATAGTTTTATCATCCGAGCGCAATGTGCTTGTCGGATATAGCCCTCACAACTTTTACGAGAGCCGCTTGTACCCCCGAAAAAGGCACTTTGT